GGCCTGGCCAGCAGCGAGGGCAGCGCCGGCACGCCGCCGCCGCAGCCGCCGCTGGCGGGCGAGCATCCCCACGTGCTCAGGCTGCGTTTCGCGGACGGCAACGACGAGGCGCCGGCGGCGCCGCGCGGCGCGCTCGAGCCTGCGGGCGGCAGCGAATCGGCAAGCGTCAGCGGCGGCGGCGGCGGCAGCCGGCTGGGCCCCAGGGGGCCGGCCAGCATCTTGAAACCCTCTGCAGACCCCTCCCTCTCGCACGGCGGCGGCGGCAGGCGTGCGGTGGTGCTGCCGCCGCCGCCGACGGCGCTGCCGCCGGCGGCCGAGGAGGATGTAGAATTTGAGGAGCCTCTCCAAGTGGACGAGCCGCCGCCGGGGGCGGCTTTCCGCCCCATCATCACCAGCGGCAGCGCAGACGGCGGCGGCGGCGGCGGCGGCGGTGCGCCGGACGCCCCTGAAGAGGGCGGCAAGCGCACCGCGGCGCTGTTCCGGAAGATGAGCAAGAAGGGCAGCGTGTGGCGGCTGCAGGAGGTGATGCTGCAGGTGGCAGAGGTGGTCAGCTCGCCGGGGCCGGGCAGCCGCGCGGCGGCGGCCGCGGCGGCGGCGCCCTGGGCGTGACGGCGCCACGTTTTTCGTTTCTTCTGGGCCGCCTCGTATCTGCCTGTACGCGCTGCGCATTGCAATGCAAGGTTCTGCCTGGGGATGTGCTGACAGTAAGCACGTGGTGGCGACTTGAGGAACAGGGGCGTCGCTGTCTTGCTGAGCCTGGTGCTGTTGGGGGCTGCCGCTGCTAGCTCAAGAGCTGCCGTCGCGTGCACACGCGCCGCTGCTTGGGTGTCCCTGCTTGGGAGTGCAGGGCCTGCAACGTCTGCTGTGCACACACCTGTCTGGCAACGCAGGGACATGATATCAGCCCCAATCGATGTGCTCTGCTCTCAATTGCCTTGGCGGCCGGACGCCGCTGAATGCATTAACACAAATGGTTCAGGTCAAGGTTGACGCGCCTCGCTGTCAGCTAGCAGTCGCCCTGCCAGGGGACCGCCGCTCGCTCAAGATGGTGTTTGCTTCTGTATAATTGTGACGGGCGGCGCAATGTTGCAGCGCTGCAGAAGACAACACGTGTGAGAGACCAACAACACCTCGATCAGTCAAACAACACACAAGCACACAGGACTGCCTGCGCCACACGCAAGAGTGTGAGCGGCCGCCGAAAACACGTCAGTGCCGCCGCCGTCAACGCTGTACTGCTGGGGAGGGAATCACGCCCGCCCCCTCACCGCCGCCCCCTCTTGCCGCCGCCGCTGGCCATGAAGCCCCGCCGCCCCTCGTCCTCGTCGCCGCCGGCGCCGCCCCTCTTCTTGCCCTTGCCTGAGTCCGCCTCCTTCATCTGCATCGTGGCAATGCGCTGGGCAGAACTTACCTGTGTGTGCGACAAAGGGAGAGAGAGTGTGTTAGTGTAAGATTAAAAGTGTGTGCGCGCATGAGTGTGCTTTTGTTTCAGGGTGGGATCAGGGAGGTGCGGGGAGTGCCTTGTGGCAATTCTTGTGAAGCTGCAGGCGCTCGAACTTCGCTGTTGCGTCAGTGGTGCGCTCCGCAGCGCCCTGACCATAAGCAACGGGCTTGTGCGGCGCGGACGGGGCAAGCGCCGCGACGCACGCGCAAGCAACACGCAGCCGCCGCCAACCCTCAGCCGCCCCCAGCCCCAGCGCTCCGCCGGCGCCCCCAGAGTTCCCCCGCCCCCGCCCCCGGTGCATGAGCACCCCGCCGCCCCCCACCTGCTCCAGCAGCAGCAGCACCTCCTCCCTCTCAGCCGGGAAGGCCTCCATCTTGACGCCCGTGAGGTGCTCTATCTTCTGGAACATCTCGACATCGTACTGAGTCACGATGGTCACGCTGCGCCCGCTGCGCCCCGCGCGCGCCGTGCGGCCCACCCTGCAGAACAGACGGCATGGGAGTGCAGTGCGGGGGTTGACGGCGCAGCCCTGGGCTCACTGGGTGCGACGCGTCGGCGCAAGGCGTCGGCACGAGGCGCCAGCAATGACAGCACAACGGCCGGCCTCTTACCACACAACGCCCCCAAAGGCTCAGTCGCCTCGCGGCCGCTGGCACTGACCGTGCCACCACCTCCCGCGCCCGCGCCCGCCCCCGCGTACGCCCGTGGCCTGAATGCCGCGCACCTGTGGACGTAGTCCTTGCTGTTGGCCGGCACGTCATAATTTATGACGACGTCCACGCTCGGGATGTCCAGGCCGCGCGCCGCCACGTCTGTCGCCACCAGAATGGCCCTCTCCCCGGCCTTGAACTTGTTGAGGGCGCCGAGGCGCTTGGGCTGGCTCATCTGGCCGTGGATGGGCACGGCGCCGAAGCCGAGGTTGCGCAGGGAGAGGGCGATCTTGCGGGTTGAGTCACAGGTGCGCGTGAAGATCTGAGGGAGGGGCATGGAGGGTTGGAGGGTGGGGGTGTGGGGAGGGAGTGGAGG